CTGGTACAACTTTACTGTGAGGAACATTAAAACCTTTTCCCTTGCTTTTTCAAGTGCTTCAATTGCCCTTGTCTCCATCGAATGCAATGCTGTTATGACTACTGGGTGCAAATCGATTGCATGGCTGTCCACCATCAATGCATGCAACTCTTAAGAGCGACCTACCCAAGGTCATTGCTGCTGATAATCCTGCGAAACTACCTCCAATTACTACAACGTCCAAAACCATATTTACTTACGATTAGAATTTGTCGCGTTTTATATTAATCGATTGCATCGCACTGGTATTGTAATTCGTCCCAAATGAGTAATAAAAATAGCGCACGGTGGTTATGGTATTAATCATCTGGATGAGTCTAGACATGCAAGGCAAACATAATTAGCTCATGCAGAGCATATATACGAACGCTAGAAATAATTTGTAGAAACTGCCGCAAAAAATTTGGCTAAGCTTTTCGGTATCGTGCAACCCGGAAACAGAATAAGCCAAAATATAGCACAAAGTATGGAGAAGAAGGTAAACAAAGGAGGTCGTCCACTGAATCTACCGTATGAGATAACGCTGCCTGTTCAATGGCTGCAAATCTGGTAAGTCATTTTGAGATAACGTTTTTAAGTCGATAGAGCATTTTGTCGTCACCATCGCCTGCACATATTTGATTTTGATAGCCTTCTTCCAATGGCCAATAGGGTCCCAGCAATAGTAGTCATATGCGTCTTGAGCTCTTTGCTTGTTGAAATCAAAGACATCAAAGTTTTTGCTCAATCTTTTCGTTCTGCGACTTGGGACTCTATCGGTATTCCACCTCAAGATCACTGGGGTACCTGCTACCGAACTTTGCGAGAGTAGGATCGTTGATGTCAATGGGCAGCTTCAAGCACGATACCCAAGTCTGGCAGTACTAACACTTGCTCAATTCTTGAATATAGGTTTAATTTTGAAACCTTCCCAGTCATAAAGTTCTTTGAGATTCGTCCATTGGATTCAGAGATCATCTTAAGTAAAGTTCTTAGAAGCAAATCATTTCGTAATTTGGTTGCGAAAATGTGAGATAAGGCTTCGGTCTTCCTTGCTTAAATGTAGAACCTGTATCGGTGAATGACTCGCAGTAAGAATCGATCATTCTGTTATTCTTTTTCTCAAATCTATTTTTCCTTCATTTATTTCATAATTATCATATCCTCATTTCAAGTAAAGTATCAACTCAACAAAGCAGAAAATGCACTGGAACGCAAAAGCAACCCAAATTAGTGTAACAGATTGAGATCCTTTCTTGACGGTGATTTCTTGAAGCGAAAATGCGGTGGAAATGTAAGTTGCATAATTTTTTGCAACCACGCTGTATAGAATGTTGAATACAAATGAGTACACCACAGTCAAAGATGCGACATAAGGATTCCATTTCCGAGGAAGTATCTGAAACACCATTCCCACAAAGAGCACTATTGACACCATCAATATCACAGACAATGGCTGAAGTGCTTTAGCAATATTGTTAGTGTGGTTCAATTTGGACTTTTTTGAAAACCCAATCTCGGTTTCCTTATAATTTAGGCCGGGCATATATATCCAAACTCTGGAGTTGGAATTGACCATTTTCGAATAATCTATTCCAGAATTGATGGAATTTCTCTTTGTCTTGTATCCACTGGAATAATAACCATAAGACCAAATACTGACGTAATAGTCGTCTGGTATGCCCATTGCCCAGCTATGACGATAGTGTCCGTCCTCTACGGTACCAAAGTAGCCCATATATGACGTATAACTTCCCAAAGGGTTTGGAAGATACAGGGCTTCTGGTACTGTATGGAATGATGATGCCGCGGCTCTTGCACTAGAAACGGTAGCAGTTCCATAGATTTGCCATGTTGCTGTCACAGAACGGAAGCTGCTTTTTGATCCAGTCAAAGTGGCAGATGTAGTAGTTGAGAAAGTGGCAGAAGTACTAGAAACGGGTGTTGGTGGGGTTGCAACCAAATTGCCCGATTCGGAAATTCCAGTAACGGCTGCAAATGCACTTGACAGTACCTCAGAGGATACTTCCCTAAAGGCGATGGCGCTCGATTCTGTCCCGCTGGTTATCTCCCTTCTCAATGGCATGGCCGTAGCGGCATAGGTATCGTCTCTTACCAAAATACGACCTCCCACGTTATCAAAGTGAACCAAGTATAAGCTCTTTAATCCATGAACCGAGCAGCCAATGACCACCAAAAGGTAGATTGTGAACACCACGAGCGACATCAAGCTTCTGAAACAGTACCAGGGGCGCCAATAATTTTTGAAGGTGGTAATTGCTGAATAGTGTGGGAGGTTTGATTCGAGGGTCTGTTCCAATGTTACAGCTTGAGATGCGAGAGTTACCTCGCCATTTGGTGCATCTTTTTGATATGGTGGTGGTGGATCTAACATTGAAGAAGGGGATGAAATGGCGGGTATAAGTAACCGTCTTATCGAGTTCGTAAATCAGTCCGCTCGGTGCATTGATGTGCATTGACATCTGTACCATCTGACGCGCAGTGACGTAGGTGATAACCGATCCCCGTCTAATGCCGAGACTTGGGCCGCGAGGTCATGAAATGATAACTGAAATGGGCCGACTCGATTGCTGAAGGGAAGATAAAACGATTGCATGACCTTGTCACCAACATAAGTTTACGAGGTCGATTCGGGAAGTGATCATAAGTCAAAAAGTGACCAGGAATAGTGAAAATATTGATAAGAATTATTAGGACAATAGCGAGAATATATTAATAAATTATTAGCAAGAGCTTTAGTTAAGAATATAGCACGACGAATAGAGTTCTCCCAGCTTATCTATGTTGTCGTAGTCAACTTACACTATCACTACAGTCTCAGATCAGAATCATAACCTGTCCTCATTTTTCCATTTCCTCGGCAATCAGCAACTCAGCCGCACCAATAAACGAGATTTCCTGTGGGGAGGTTATCTTTCGCGAAATAACCAAGATAGCTACAGTCATTTTTGCAGCCGATATGATTAACCTTTGATATTAAGAATTTGCCGAAGCAATCAATACACTAACTCATTAATGTAAGCAATTCACAAGATGAGTATCAAATTACAAATTCGAGAAACTGTAAATTCTGAAATTTCTTTCGCATGTGGAAGTTGTGAACAAAACCAACATAGTCAACAACCACCATCTTGCAGTCCAGAAGTGGACGACCATTCCAGAGAGATTAACTAAACGATAGGCAATTTAAACTTAAGAGCTCGACTTCCAAAACTAACGCAACCAGCTACAACAATTAACGATTTTAAGAGAGTCTACAATTTCTATCGGATCAAGTTGAATGAAAGAATATCGACTGACAACTCTAATTATCTGCAAATATGACTTGACCCAGGCAAGGTGTCCAATATTCACATTAGCACCATCTTCGTATTGCAGTCCTTTGCTCAGCACAAAGCACCACACCATGGAACCGACGACAAGGACAATAATCCAAAAATTAGGAAGCGGTCTCTTATTTATTTCAACCTCCTCTCTGGACATTTGCAACATGAATTTTTGAGAAATCCAATTTCCGAAACAAACTTGTACTCATTTATACGAAAGGATAACCGGTTGTAGGGATTGTGAGACAAGAACTCGCCAACTAGCTTGAGGTTATTGTCTAATAAACTGTACTGGCCAATAAAGATTCCCATATTTCATTGTCTTGTGGTTAGCATATAATGAATCATAAACAAGTTGTGCAAAATTCTTCTGTTTGAAATACTGTATCTTGATTCTTCGGCTAAAGGAACATAACAACTAATCCTAATACCACTTGAGAAAGTGACGGTAGCCCATACGAAGAAACACCTGCTGCTGATTTGCTTTTACCATGAGCACTACTAGCATGGGAATTAGATTTCGAGGCTTGAATTGGAGACTTGGTAGGAACCGAAGATGTTATAACTTCGATATCTTCGTCCGAACTATACTTGATTGGTGCCAAAGAAACTTCGTAGTTCTCGAGGTCACAAACCACATAAGCATGTCGCAAAAAATTATCTCCAAGTGACATATAAGGATTCGACGTGGGTTGGGGAAGCAACGTCAAAATGCAGGTACCATCTTCAGATTGTTTGATTAAATCTTGCATACGAACTGCAATTTCTTGACCACTAAATTCAAAAGTTATTGAACCTTCAGACGAACAGGGAACCGTGTATAAATCCGAATATAATGAATAAGATCCCCCCAATTTAGAGACAATATCCGTGAGTATTGAGTGATAAAGATGGGAATACGTGGCACCCGTATCCAACAATACTGGGATAGACTCATAAGAAACATCGGAAATGGATTCACCATCATCGACTTTGATTGCCAGATTCTCCACTTCAATTCTTAATGGAACATTGGACACATTTCTGTACGAGTTGACCATCTTCACCGTCTTGAGATTTCCAGTATATTTAGCATTGTCTATGGCACCAAATAACACCAGACCATGCCTATCAGAAATGTTTCCCAAGTACAACGAATAAAGGGCTTTGTCAATAATTCCTTGCGACTTAAGCATCAAAGGAAGGTTTGAATATTCATACCCTTCACCAGTTGAAATGTTTTTCGTAGTTTCTAGCCCAGCAAGTCCTATCCCAAGAATTCCTACGTTGGTGGTCGACTTGTTGGCTACCGCAAAACTAAGGGAGTTCACAGTTGCGTTTCCAATTTCCACTTCATCTGTTCCCCAAACTCCGGAAGCGCCTGTACCGTCAGCATAGGAAATGAAGAAATCCGGAGCAGATCCATTTACTGAAAAACTATCGGAATCCTCGGTGGAGAAACTTCCATACGAAGTACAAGTGTCTGTAGTGGGCAAATCGTAAGTGGTCTCGGAGTCGTAAGTGGTTGTCTCGGAATCGTAAAGTGTGTCGTATCCTCCAAAGTCACTCAAATAAGCCGAAACAGTTTCGTACTCGTAGAATGAATCAGAAACAAGTTTCTCTTCTTCGCGCTTCTTGTAGCTTCTACGGTAGCATTTCAAGTCTTCACTTAAAACCACCAAGTCTGACGATCCTGTATCGACCAAGACTCCAACTTGATCTTTATTGGATCCAATTTTCAATTCAGCAACGTAGAATGTCGCTTTGTTTGTTAACTCCATTGTAAACTTGTCATCCTCGGATCTCTTTACAAATTGAGGTTCATTTTCTAAAGCCATATCATCTTTGGAGTTTCCTCTGTGGATTGCAAAGTCGAGCTTCAAGGTTGCTGCTACCAAATGAGAAGCAATGATAATTAATATTACAGTAAGCTTCATGAATCAATTTCTTGACAAAAGGATCCATTTTATAGCTCGTAGTGATAGTCATAGCACAATTTACGAACATCAACTCAAGTGACTGCATTCAACATTTATGTAAATCATTTTTTTTTTTGACAGTGCCAAGAATTGTCATCGTTCTCGCTTAATAATAATTTCCCTTCAATTTGCGAGAATGATGACAACAGAAACTTGATAACAAAGTGCTGTCTTACACTCAACACGATAAGTGCTATAGGCATTTTCTACACTCAACAGTAATGTTTGTTGATCACAAAGAGTTCTATTTTTTGTGACCCCTGCATTCGGTTTAGCATGCGGCGCAGCGCGGCGCGCAGCTTATCGGAAATAATGTCAATTGAATTTTGCATGATGTAATGGGACGCTAACGGTGCACGCCAATTTGTTTAAAGATATACGAACTTTGAATGGATGACCTTCCCTGAAGCTCGTATTATACCAGTAACTGATCTAAGTGACTGTAACTTTAATCTTAGTCATCTGCAACGTATCGTACCCACAAACTAGTAAAACACTCATATTCAATTATTAATCATATATGATATAGAATTGTGGAAAACACCAAAAGCCTCAATTGAGCTTGGTTTCCTCAGGTTGTGATACGTCATTGACTATATTTGCTGGTGGAGCGGCCTCCAAACTAACTGCAGCTTCAATATCATTCACCGGCTCGTCAGCATATGATAAAACGTCCATCACCAAAAAAGACAGGTCTTTCCTGGAAGTAAGTCTTGCGATACAGAATATAGATCCAAGATATGAAACCCAATTGACTGCTCCAAAAGCAATCACCACCATATAAACATGACAGATTTTGCTCCAATCAAAATCAATGTAGTAATAATAGTATGACGAAGAAAAATCATAGGAACAATCTGCTCCGGACCAAACTTGAGTGACAAGAGCAAATGAAATTATCCACAAAACAAATCCAATTATATCACAACAAAGTGCAACAATGGCAGTGAAATATTTATACAACGTCAAGGCGGAAATCAAGTAAACACATGACAATGCACTTACTGCTATGGAAAAGTTGCCCTTTTCCCAACTTCCCATTAAATGAACTCCCGCAGCTGAAACTCCTAGCGCGGCAATACTAAAAAGAAGTTGCACAATTCTATAAATTGCTGAAAACGCTCGTTTATGGTATTTCATCATTGTGGATAACTGACACAATTATGCCATTTTATATAAAGTGAAATACGAGAATTAACTTGAGGGTTTGAGAGTGTGACCAAAGATTAGCGATCAATTCTGAAGGTGTTAAGTACGAGAATTGTGCAGCTGGGGTTTAGAGCCTTTGGTTGACCAAAGAGGAAATGAATGATACGAAAAATCTCTTGCTCGCAAATCATTTGATGTTGCCTCCATGAGAGAGAATAGATCAAATTGCATTTGAAAAAAACTTCAAAGTTATCGAAGTCTGAATTGACTGCTTCTTTGGTTCTACACGTTACTGAAGTTGTATTCAAAAAGAAAACAATCTATAAATGTTGTGACTTCTACGATGAAGACTGAATCAGCAGACAATGACATAAATTGGTTCACAGATTTTAACTGGAATCTTGCAAGACTGACAGTAACTATTCTCACTCACGAATTCGTTATGTCTCGAATGCCGCCGATAGAAGTCACGTGCGTACCGTCGATGATCTTTCGTGTTGTATGCAGTATTCTCGGCTGCAAACAATCTGATTGTTCCCTGCATTACAATTAACTAAAAAAACGTCAAAATTTCCCTTTTAGGCAGTACTTTCGAACGGTACCTTCTCCTCACTTCACTTTGACAACTTTTCTTCATCATGAAGCCTGTTAATTTGGCTATTGGCTTTTGTCTTGCAACCAATTATGTACATGGTTACCCTACAGTACTTGACAAGAGAAATCTACTTTTAGATGGTTTTGCCAACTTATTCAATTCTTCTGGGGATTTAAATGCTTCAATATCCGAGGGTATATTTCAAGACGTCAAAGACCTTGGGGGTATAATTCTGTCGTTGGATTTAATGATTGAATCGGTAGTGGACACTTCAGAGATCCATGGAATTTCCGGTGCTTTCAATTACCTAAAGGAAATATTTGAAAGCCAAACTTGGAAATCGATATATTCGGGAATAATCAAACTGGTTTTTGAGGAAAATGGCCTTGAAACTGTTATTATCAATTATTCTCAACGATTGAATAACCTTAACAATACCAACGCCAGGTCTCCCAAAAGTGCAGTTTATCCTTCTGCGAATAGTAAGGACGCTCCGTACTCTTTACTGGAGCAAAAATTACGAAGTGCAATTGAAATTCCTTCTGGATATGAATATGGTAAAGGTGACAAAAAGCCTGTTCTTCTAGTACCGGGAACTGGTTCTTACGGAGGAAACGGTTTCTATACCAATTACATCAAATTGCTTAATCAAACAGATTTTGCAGATGTTGCTTGGTTGAATATTCCCAACTATTTACTTGAAGATTCCCAGCTGAATGCCGAATATGTGGCCTACGGTGTCAATTATCTTTCTGGGATTTCAGAAGGTAAGAAAGTAAGTGTGATATCTTGGTCTCAAGGTGGGCTCATCACTCAATGGGCATTGAAATATTGGCCATCTTTACGTGAAAATATGGGAGAGTTTATTCCCGTGGCTGCTGACTTTCATGGTACAAAATTGGCCCCGGCTATTTGTCCGTCATTTCCCAAGTTGTCATGTGCTCCTTCAGTTCTTCAACAAGAATATAATTCCAACTATGTTCGTACTCTCCGAGAAAATGATGGAGATTCTGCCTATGTTCCAACAACCTCGCTCTTTTCTGGATTTGATGAGATTGTGCAACCTCAATCTAAAAATGCTTCTGCTGCTCTCAAGGATGCTAGAAATGTTGGGGTAGGAAACTACCAGTTCCAAAACCTTTGTCCAAACAACACTGCAGGAAGATATTATACTCACGAAGGGTCCCTTTATAATCCTGTTGGCTATGCTTTAGCGGCTGATGCTTTGAAGCATGGTGGAGTGGGAGACCCAAGCAGAATTGATCTTGAACATTTATGTACCTTACCATTTCCTGAAGAATTAGACTATGCTGATGTTTTAACCACAGAGGTCGAGTTGTTGTATTGTGGGTTCAACATAATTTTCGGAAAAGGCAAAGTGAAGGAAGAACCTAGAATTAGAGACTACGCAAAATAAATAACCGGAATTATTATCTTCATTCTTCCAATCATGCCCGCGTTTCGCGGGGTGCATAATCTATGCATAATCTCCGTCCCATCAGAATACAGCGCAACAGGTTTCCTTTTCAGAAATCCGTCTAGCTTAAAAAGCATACATCTCCTTCATTCTAAGACAGA